CTCAATACTAAACTGTACTGTTCAAGTCAATCTTCATCTCCATGCTTACCTGCGATCATGAATCTTGGACCATGACTGAAAAAGTTCGGTACAAGCAGCTGAAATGAGCTTTTTGAAACGATTCGCTGGCCTTATGCATCTCCACATAGTCGGGAGTACAGACATCCTCGAGACCCTTGGTGTACAGCCGCTGCTTCTTCAGTTTGAAAAATCAGAGCTGCGATGGATTTGGCATGTGTTCCGAATGCCTACTGAAAGAAAGGCGAAGTAACTACTACTTCTCAACTGACTAGCAGAATACCGAGGGATCAAGATTAATCTAGTGCAGGTGTTTTGAAAGAGTCTACTCTTGAGTAGGGTTGTCTTTTGTAGACGCTGAGACACTGGAACGGGATGAAGAACTTGGAAGCATTGCCTGAAGCGTCAGCCTCTACGGTTCGAAAGGAAAAGTGGTCACGAAAGTGAAGAAATGAGAAAACCGCTAGCAAATATACAAAAGCGGGCAGATAAAAGTCAATTCGACTATTTTTTTTACTGGAAATAAACGAGGTGAAGAACGTCAGCGATTGCAAAATTATTCATGGGGAACCTCTCACAAGCCAGCATCAGTTACTGGTGCTGATGTCTTTCTGAAACAGTACATTAACAGGAAGGGTACGATGAAAGCTCTAATAATATGGTTGTGAAAGCTCGAAGGAAGAGTGGAACAAGTGAGCACATATTCAGAAACGAAAGTGGTTGTCGAATGCGGAAACACATGTGACTCGACAACAGAAGAACGAGCCTGTTCAAGAAATAATAGCCATAATGCAGCGCTGAAGACAAAATGAAATGTCACAACCGAGAAGAAACGAAAGGCGTCCCCGAAGCGAAGTGAAAAAGCGAGTAGCTTTTGACTTGATTAATGACTCAATGTGACAACGATCTCCAGCTGAGTGAGATATTAACTGACATATCTATTGAGGGACAGAGACCGATGGATTTGTTAAATATAAGGAATTAAATATTAACTGATCGGCTGAATGGGTGATTGACCGACTAAGAGACTGACCGATAGGCGGATTGATTAACTTGTTGCCTGACTGACAGATTTAGACGCATTTTGATGATCTATCTGCATGACTAAATGGCATTTAGTTATGCTGGCTGACTGAACAGCTGACGGATTAACAGATTATCAGATACCATATTGAATGAGAGATTAATTGAGCGAGTAACAGTCTAAGTTAGTGATTGTGACTAGCGACTGATTTACAAAAAAAACGCAGTAATTGAGAGGCAGAGCGAATTGGTTAGTTAGCTAATTTGTGAGCAATACCGAGTGATTGTCTATGATTACCTGAAAAAAACTAACCGATAGGCTAAGAGCGTAGTGCTTGATTCATTAACAACGTGAGTCACTGACTTGGTGACAGAGAGCTAGAAAAACAGCAGAATGAAACTAGTAAAATGACTGGCACAGTCACATCGCAAATGATCGAAACTTTTTATTTGAAGACAGCAAATAAGTGACTGAACTGAAACTGACAGCCTAAACGCCTGTTATGAAAGATAAACGACTTACAAACTGAATAACTGACTGCTTGACCGATTAAGAGACAAAGTGCATGAATAGAGTGCTAGATGCTTCATTACTGACCGATTTGCTAACTGTAACAACTGCGTGACTTTTGACAGTCTGAGTCAATAAGTGAGATAAACGGAGAGATTGACACTCAGAAGGATGGAAAGGATATGACAGCATCATTCACAGAATCTCAAAGAATATGGCTGAAAGATTCATACCTGAAGACAGGTGTCGTATCGCCTTCCAATGCTTTTTCTAGAAGCTATGTGAATGAAAGCCAAGCCGATCAAAAAATTAAGCAACGGGCTGGAAGGAAACTGTGGTAATATCGACAGATATTCGGCTAAACGATACTACGTCAGACTCTGACAGGGTCAAATACATAATAGCGAACGCGAAACTCACCCAAAGCATGAGAATACGTGCCGGCGAACAACGAGTTGTTGCCGCTGATCCACGGTAGGGCGTGTGAATTTGGAAGACGAAGCATCAAACGTAAGACGACACGGTGATCTCGCATTTCTTGGTGTATTGCAAACATGAGTGCTAAAAATTGCTTACATTACACAGTGAGAGAATTAACCCTGGTATTAAGGTAAAGATGGGGTCGACTAATAAATTAATTAACTTGTAGAAGACGGATTTAGTGACGCCAAAATATAGTTAACCTCGCCTGGGAGAAAGGAAAAGAAAAAATGTAGGTAACCACTTAAATGAAAATTTCCTGACTAAACGCTATACTTTCACGACTGAACGCCTTAAGATACAGCACTAACCTCCTTCGCCGTGATATCAACTGGTAACAGTGCACTGCTTTCTTTCTGAAGGCCAAGTAAAACGCTTGGTGACCATTCATAGTATACAGCATGCAGTAATGCTCCTTTCCATGAACTAGTACCCATTTATCTATTTCAGAAGTATGAGAAGCAAGTGAAACTACTGGGGATAGAACTTATAACCCGTCGACTATAACAGAAAGAGGTAGCGTGATCAACTGCCCAAAAACATTTCACCAGAACACAACTGGCATTTCAAATAATAACTTATGTAAGAGAACGGAGTGAGAAATGTTAATGGCATTGATCTTGATCTTTAAATAAACGTCCTAAATGTGAGCGGACGACTTTCATATTTATGAAAAACTAAGGTCAAGTAAAAATTAGACGAAACAAAACGAGACTTGAGAGTTTCAGTTATGCTTCAGTTCCTCTGCTGAGGCGTCTGTTGTGCCTCATGAAGTCACTGAATATAATTGGCCAACGATTTTCTAGAGGATAATCGAAAGACAATTTCAACAGGCCGTTGCTGCTCAGATGGTAGACAGCTTTCAGACTCAGAACCATAGGGTTGCAGGTTGAAGCCCTAACTGGCTCACTAGCATTTCTTCCTTCTCTGGTTGATTAGTGCGTACCACGCATGTGGGAAAGAAACAAGAGGGCAATTACGTAGTATGCACGCCAAAGGGCTACTATCGACTCTGCCTTCAAAATAAGACACTCCTACCGGATGGCATGGAAATGGAGATCAGTGCACCACAAATAACTTCATGAAGAGAGGGCGTCAGAAATGGCGCCATCATGCAAGTGTAAGGACGATCAACTTTGCAATTGTCGCAAACGTTCCTTTTGCTTTCTCTTTCTCTCCTTTTTCGAAACTTACAAGTTTTATTTTGGAATTATTATTGTTAATAGACTAACTCTGCGCATACCTTTTCACTTTATTGGAAAAACCATGTTTAATAGTAAATGGGAAACATTAGCATTTCTGACTGTGAGCTTCGTTGATTAGCGGAACATGAAATCTTTAGGCGTCTAGATACACAGACCTCAGAGATCGCGCAGCGAGTCTGCTGATAGAGACGTGACGGGAACAAAATATCTCTGAGAACAGAAAAACACAAACAAACCCACGCCAAGAAGGAATGCAGTAACTAACGAAAGGAATAAAACGCGACAGCGTGAAGTACTTACCAAGTAGATTCCAGTACCGATTTCCGTCGTCGTTTTCGCAATAATCTCTTATGTACGCCCACAAAACCTTCGTGAACCTGCCGTGAATGCACGCTAGCATGACTATCCTTCCAGCGGCTTCGTTTAAACCGGCGTCCACGAACAGCGAACACTGCGAGGCGTAGCCGCTCAAGCAGATCAGTTGAGCGTAGTCCTTTGCTTGGAAGCATAGGCTGCACAACTATGACATATTTATTCGTTAGGGTATTTGCCATTTACACCTTTAAACTTCAACGTGACCAAATATGTGAGCACTACGACTATAAAATTTAAAACGGACAACAGACAGGTGCGCAAAACTCTGGAGCAAGTCGTCCTAAGCCAGACGCTACAAGCGAACAAAAGATAGGAATGCGAAGGATAAAAAAAATAAAACCCATGTCGATAGGTTAATTCATAACTCAGCTAGGAAACTGCAACGATACATAAAGACAAAAACAGAAATACAGACAGACGTTAGAAACAAAAAAACATAACTAGTCCATATTGAAATTAACAAAGCAAAATAGTGCTGGTCAAGAATAACTTCAAGATCTGAAAAAATGCGCACCGACGGAAAAAAAGACCACACAAAATCTATCCTCGCAAACGTTCGAACAAAAAAATAAAATACCATTAATTACAAAAAGCAAACAAACCAGAAAAATGACAATACACATCAATGATCACCTTCAGAAAGATCGACCACAGCTC